TTCAGAAACTTGTAATCAGGCTGCTGATGGAATAAAAGAGTGTAAGGAACCTCAAAATGAATGGAAGCAGACGGAAGCCTGTTAATAAGATATACAACAGTGGAAAAGGCATAGTCCCAATATGTTAAGGGAAGGGAAGCATGACTAAGCAAAGTAAGCCTTAAGTCCATTATGTGCCTGTGTTTTCTTTCAATGACACCATTCTGATGGTGTGTATGTGGACAGATAATACAATGGTTAATACCCATCTCAGTGAGATACGTAGTAAATGGCTTGAATTCACCCCCCTAGTCAGACTGAACAACTTTAATACATGACTCAAGTTGCAGTTCAACCAATGTTTTAAACTTTTGAAAAACAAAAATGGCTTCAGACTTAGCTTTAAGAAGATAGATCCAACTAAACTTGGAATAAGCATCCACAAAGGACATGTAATATAAGAAATCATATGCAGAAGCCTTGGGTGAGGGCCCTCATAGGTCAGTATAAACAAGTTCAAGAGGTTTTGTGTAAACTGTGTGTGAAGTGGGACCATGTAACCTGTGGGATTTACCCATACAGCAAGAATAACAGAACATTTCACAAGTTTTATTACTGATCTGAACATTACAATTTTGCAAAACAAGCTTGAGAGCATGATTGTTAGGATGTCCTAACCTAAGATGCCACATGTAAGGCAAGCTATTAGAAAGAGAAACAGTGTTAACACTAGGTGCAACATTATTGGAAGAAAAACTAGAAGAATGCAACAGGGACTTAGCAGGTTGTGACACATCAACAGAGGGAAACTCATAGAGTCCATCAGCTCCTACATGACCTTCAAGAAGAGTGGCATCAGACACCTGACATTTAACAAGACACTTGTCAGCTGAGAATAAAAAGTACACATGGTTATCCTTAGAAAACTGACTGACACTAAGAAGATTCTTAGTGATAGCAGGAACATGAAGTAAGTTCTTGAGAGTGAGGTGTGTGGTAGGATGAAAAGGGGAAGGAAAAGAGCTTGAACCAGCAGACTGAATAGTCAAACCTTTCCCATTACCAATGTAAATTTGATCATGGACTTCAAAGGGAGTCATATGTTGTAAATTATTTGCATGACTAGTGACATGGTATGAGGCGCCAGAATCAAGAAACCAGGAGCCAGATGGAGATGGGGAAACATTAGCCACAAAGGTGCTTGGAGGTTGTGTAATAGTAGGAGGGTAAGAAGGCACAGTAGGGGACCTGGTCCACACATAAGGAGAGGCTTGAGGTGGTGCTTGTGTGTAATAGGCATGAGCACCCTGCCAATAAGGTTCACATAGTTTGCACCAGCAGATTGGAACTGATAGTTAAACCCGTGCCAGCATTGCAGGGCAGAATGACCAGGTTTGGAGCAGACTTGGCACTAGACATTAGAATTGGAGAATCTGCCACCTCTACCACGGCCAAACCTACCACCAAGATAACCTTTTACACCTCTAAAAGGTTGATAATCCTGCACTTGATTAAACTGACCAGTGTGAGCAGAGGAAGAATCAGTGGCAGGTGTTGGAGACTCATCTGATGTTGGTGGTTGAGGCACAACATGAGTTAGGTTGAGAGAAACCAGATCTAGAATTGGCTGCTTCTTGAACTTGTTCAAGCGCAGTTCATGAGCCAATAGAAGAATTTCAACCTCATCAATGTCCATAACTCCAAATCTGCTTTCAACAACAGACACAACCTGCGCAAATTCAGCAGGCAAGCCCTCAAGAATCACATCAATATGATGTGACGCAGGAATTGGATCACCAATGGATGCAAGCGCATCGACAATGGTATGAATCTTCAGCAAATAGTCTTGAACAGAAAGAGTATCAAGTGTAAGAGCACACAATTCAACACGCATGTGGCGTGCCCTAGCACGAGTTTGTTTCTGAAAATAGATGAAGAGACAACCCCACAGTATCATGAGAGTGGTTACAGCCAAGCACGCGTGAGAGAATTTCACTGGAAAGTGTAGATTGAAGCCATGACAACAACAATTGGTCCTTCTGAATCCAGCGAGAATACGCTGGATTGACAGAGCCGGAACAACGAGCGACATCATCAACAAATTTTGCTGGAACACGAGCGCATGCCACCAAATCTGTGAGATCATGAACATTAATGTAAGGTTCTACCTGTTGGCGCCAAAGATGGAAGTTCTTTTCATCCAACTTCTGCGCAATCTTGAGCGAGAAGTGCAGGCGGCGAGAATCGTCCACCATCGGCGTCGGAGACGGTGTTGGTTTAGGCGAAACCCTAGCGGAAGACGGAGGCGATGGCAAAGCAATCGAAGCCATGGATCGACTCAACAACCTGATACCATATTAGAAAGAAGAATAAAGAAGAGAAGAGTTTTTCATCTGTAACAGAATTCTGTTATTCTGTTTTCTATTTTTTCAGTTAGTTACAAAAGGCTCCTTGATGCTTTATATACAACATCAAGGGTAACCTGGTATTACAGGTTAGGGCACACTGTAACTTACAGCTGCCTGTCAAATACATAAACAGAAATAGGGACTAAGCTACTTATGTATTCAATACATTGGATCACCTATCACCTTAAGGTTTTAGGTAGATAAGTGGTGTGTCTCTCACAAAGGTGCCTAGTCCTACACTATGTATCGATGCTCTTAGTATCTCCCTCCAAAATTGGTATCTAGAGCACTTGGTTCTGTTTTTCCTGGGAAACACGAGTGTTTGTGAGCTGTGTGTTTGATTTTGGTTCAGGTGATTTTTTCTGTTGAAATCTTGAACAAAAATCTGAATAGAATCTGATTCTGTGGGTTAGGAAACAGTGTGTTTGAAGATATGAAAAATCTGTGCAAGGTTAAAAATCTGTTCAAACTACTGCCTCCACTCATCTTTAACCTTGCACAGATTGTTCAGATCTTCAAACACACTGTTTCCCAACCCACAGAATCAGATTCTGTTCAGATTTTTGTTCAAGATTTCAACAGAAAAAATCAATGAACCAAAATCAAACACACAGCTCACAAACACTCGTGTTTCCCAGGAAAAATAGAACCAAGTGTTCTAGATATCAATTTTGGGGAGAGATACTAGGAGCATCGATACATAGTGTAGGACTAGGCACCTTTGTGAGAGACACACCACTTATCTACCTAAAACCTTAAGGTGATAGGTGATCCAATGTGAGATTATTTTCCAATTTATTCACACTTGCTATATTATTCAACAGTTTAACCATGACAGAATAAATAATTATTTTTTTTATCCTAAATGATGAAAAAGTATCTTATACAAATTTAAAAACATTTTTTTTTAATGGAGAAATCCATTTTCCATACGCATTTGTATACACTAAATTTATACGAATATAAATCATACAATCAATTTTTCAAAAGAAAATCATAATATATTTTCAAAATAAAATCTGAAGTATATTTCTGTAAAATTTGTTTCTATTATCTGAGCACAACAATTTCATTAAAAAATAAAAAGCGTGACAAAAAAAGTTTGCAAACACAATCCGATTTTTTTCAATTCATTAGATAATACAAACTCAAATATCTTCACTCAATATTCAAAGCTTTTAAGAAATTAAAAGCTCTTAAACTCATATTCAAAAGTGAAATAGGATTGTGTTTGCAAAACAATTAAACTCAAATCTTCAAATTTTTAAAAAGCTTTGCAAACTCTTAAACTCATATCCATAAATGAACTAGGTTATAGTCTTGAAGTCTAATAAAAGTGCTAAAAAGTAATAATTACTCGGTCCTCCCTCGTGACCAAATTTTTAAAAATTGTGAAGATTTAATTTTAAAATTTTTGCAAACACAATCTTAGAGCATCCACATTCATCATATTCATTTGGGTTCTTTAAATGAGACCTGCATAATTTTTTATATTATTTCACACTTCTCAATTTTTTAAACAATTCATCTACAATTCTCAAATATCCATGTAACTCATCAAAAAATCTAAAATGAGTCTCACATTTAAAATAAATCAACTACATTCTTACAATTTTATTTATTAATTTATTATCATGACCCACTTAATTGGAGTGTAACGTGTTTTAGTATGAGGACGTGCTTTAGTTCAGGAACGTGAAAACAAATGAAATATCCATTTATTATTGACACAATTTCTTTAATAAATGTGTAGGAACTCTCAAAGAACACCGATAATCATGCTCTTAGTTCATTTTTGGATATGAATTTAAAAGTTTTTAATTTTTTAAAAGCTTTGAAGGTTGAATGAAAATATTTGAATTTGTGTTATTTGTTTTTGAATCAAAATAAAGTCAAAAGATATCGTTTTAGTTTTTTTAAAAACAATTTTTATAGTGTAACATAATTTTATGTAAAAAAAAATTTAAATGAAAATAAATAATTATTCTTAAAATTTTATTTTAGATATTTCGTCATTTTATTGAAATTTTTTTGAATATAAAAAATTCAAAAAATTAGTTAATTTTAAAACTATTTTAAAATAATAAAAATCATATTAAAAATATAATTTTTTTAAAATTTTGAAATTTCGATAATATTTCAATCTTCATTAATGTATGTTTATATTATAAAATATAAAAATTAGTCTTTCAATTTAAAAGAAACTTATAATATTTTAAAAAACAATTTTATAAAACTCATTTTTAAAAATACAATTAAAAAAATTCATTTTTTAAAAGTTAAAACAAACATGCACTTATAGTCTCAACTTTGATCTATAAGATAGAAAAGTAGTCTCAAATATAGTATTAAAAAACACAGCTCGTGTTGGTGGGTAGGGTGTTGTTGAACACCAATTATGTCTTCCATGCTTTTCAACAAAAAGGCAAAAGCAACTATGACGACACATAACATTTATTTATTTACAAAAACTAGAAGTTCTCAAACATACAAAAAGATAAAGGGAAGTACTGCTGAATTCTAGTGGCAACAGAGGTATTTCACATAGCATTTACAAGTTTACAAAGATGCTTGGCTATGAAACCTTAATGTCAATTACAAACTCTACATGATTTAGGAGCTTTCACAAGTCTCCAAGGTCACACTTTGGCTGCGCCTCTTCCTCTCGCTCACCTGAAAAAAGAAAAAAAATCGGCCATTTAAGATATGAACCCGAGATACAATACTGACACATAGACACGGTAATAACTTACGAAAGTATAAATAATTGCATGTAATTATGTATTGATGTCAAATATCAAACACACTTTCAATTTGAAGTGTTGGTACTACATAGGTTAATTATGTAGGTTGATAAACTCAAACAAATGAATCCAAACAGGCCCTTAATTGCATTGCGCTTAGACAAACAGAAATATGTGAGAGTTGACAGAAAACAAGTTTGAAGTTATACCTGAGTCCATGAAGGGGGCAAGGATGCGCCACGCGCAGGCTTAGGAGGCAAGGATGCACCGCGTGCAGGCGGCTTCCTTAATTGTTTAATTTGTTGAAGACGGGCTGCTATCTCATCCAAAAGCTTCAACTGACCTTTTTCGTTTTCGCCTTTGTCCGCAAACAAGGTCAATTTCTCTTTTTCATGCTTCACTGTCCTCAACCTTTCTCCAAGAACTTCAATCTCATTGTCAATCCTCAACTTTTCATTATGAACCAAATAAGGAGAATTACTTTCAGTATCGAAAGGTATAGATTTGCATTTTGAATCGGCATCTGAACAACTTGCACGTTCAAGATGTGTACTCATCGGTTTGTCTGAAAGAGTACTATATGAAGAGCTACTTAAATTTTCAGTTTCCTTATGTTCAATGTTGTCATCAATAACATGAACGTCAAGAACATCAGACTCGGTATCATTGAAAGAGCTATGCCGGTCACCACACGCTTGATCCAAGTGTCTAGTGTTCTTCTCCGGCTCTTCTCCATGTTCCGTATCGGTAAAATCTCCCTTAACATTAGATACGACACTTTCTGTCTGCAGTGGATCATCATATATTTCAAACGAAAGTGGTGACCTTTGTTTCCATTCACTAAGCAGTACATCCGCCGACTTAGATTTCGACTCGCAATTTCCCGTCAAACACATTTGCCTATAACTTTCAAGTTCCTTTTCCAGAAAGAGATTCTCCTTTTCCCTTCTTATAAGAATCTCTTGCATAATACTCATCTCTTCTTCATCATAAGCAACTCGTTCTTCAACCAACCTATCGTATTGTCTCATTTCCATTTCCATCAAAGCTTTCTCCTCTTGCAGACGCAATATCATAGCCATGGCCTCATCCGCAGCAGTAACAGCTGCAGCTCTCTCCTTCTCTAGCTCTAGATAAAGAGCCGCGTAAGCAGCTTTCTCTTCTTCAAGCATGTTTTCATACATCTTGATACGGCTCTCTTCATTTCCAACAATATGATCATTATCTCGTGCAGTAGCGCTCGAGTAGTGTTCCAAAGACGATGAATATACTCCCTGTCCCAGACTTTCAACTATCGATGCATTGAATTCATAACTGTGACATGTTTTTTCGTCCAAATCATGGCTCGTCTGGTCATAGTCTAAATAAGCAAGTTAAAACTATATAAGCTAATATTCTTTGCATGCATAAAATAAATAATATACACAGAAATATAAAACAGTTTCGGTAAGAAAAATGAGATTCAACTTATACTAGAGTTTAATCAAAATCATCGAATGAACGATAGCTATGTTGAAGGTTTCTCACTTACATTGCAAACTTTCTTCTTTCCCCGACGCAGAATTTGAGCTCTGACTGGATTTATCTTTTATTATACGGCTGCTTCCATCGCAAGGCGTGGAAGTGAATGTAACATCAGACTGGAAACTATGATGACGAATAACGGAATCGATTTTTCCACAATCATAACCACTCCTCTTCCTACGACGAAATCCCGACCTACGTTTCAAACTCAAAACCCCCTTTCCTTTAACATCATACCCAATTTCCTGCAAACGCGGACCCGAACTCGAACTCTCATCTTCCAACTCAACAATCCTATTACTATTATTATCACATGTTTTCTCATCATTGATATTGTCTAAAGAATGACCTTTCTTGACCCAAACCAAATCAAATGGAAACCTTTTCATCGCCATTACTTGAATGGAGCATATCTTCCTTAAAGGCCATTCAAACAATAGCATATGAAAACAAAGATAGCTATTTCTATAACCTAAAACCCCTTTACAAGGACAAGGCATATAAAATCCAAAAAGCCTAAGAAATTTTGAAACAAAGAAAGCAAAAGTGGATCCACATAGTAATACATAAGCTACAAAAAGGTCAATAAAGGATCCAATTATTCCTCCTAAACTCCATGAATCACTTTCCTCTAAAGCCATTTTCACAAGCTCAACATGCATACTCTAAAGTCTCAACAATGACTTGAAGAGAAAGAACTACAAAAACACAAGACCCAACAAGCAAAAACTAATCTTTTTAGTTCCAAACACTTAAATATCACAAAATCATGAAGAACAACAAGGAAAAAATCAAAGATTTAGATCAAAGTAATTAATAAAACAAGTTGAAGAAGAAAATGAAAATAGAACAAAAAGTGAATACCATGGTTTGTTGAAGGAAAGGGGTGAGATGAAAACCGCAGGCAGAAAGATTCACAAGACACGAAGAGGAACAGTGATGGTGATGGAAATGAAATGATTGCGTATAGAGACGAATATTCAGATTGACAGGATGACAAGTGTTATTAAAGGTATATCCCTCTCATCACAATATATATATATATATATATATATATATATATATATATATATATATATATATATATATATATATATATATATATATATATATATATATATATATATATATATATATATATATATATATATATATATATATATATATATATATATATATATATATATATATATATATATATATATATATATATATATATATATATATATATAGGTTTAATGTATTCTTGAATCTTTTAACTTAATTTTATATTTCACTTTACTCTTATTTAATAAACGTTTGTTTTTAATCAGTTAAATATTTTGTTAAAATCTATTAAGTTATGTATACGTAACACTTTAACTGACATATGTTTAGATGATATAAAAATATTTTATTTGATATTAAATATTTCTTTTATTAATGAGAAATCTGTCAAAATAACTAATTTCTTTTCAATTTTCATTAATCATCATTTTTTAATATATTTCTTTTATCAGCAAAACAAAATCCACCATCCAATCTACTTTTCTATTATCTTCTCTTAAAATCAAATCTTTATAAATTCATATTTCAACCAACCATGTCTTTCCTGTTAAATTGTAATTCATATGTGTCTAAAGAAGATTTGATTTGTTTAGATTTAAATAGATTTGAATTTAAATCTAGATTAGATTTGATTTAGTAAAGAGATATTTTGGGCTTGGGTTTAGCTTAGGGAGCAAGCTAACCTAAATCTATAAATAGAGGGAGTAACCCCTATTTTTTTAAAGCAAGTCATTCACAGTATTTTGCAGTTGCAAAGTGAATTAATAAAGATTCCACAGTTTGTGGGCAGAATAGAAATTCTGCAGAAATATCTTCATTGTTCTTTTATTTGTTTGTCATAACTAATCATCAGTGGTGGTCAAAATTCATCATAAAGTATTGGTGGATTTCCAATATCTGGTATCAGAGCTTTTGTTTCGGTTCAAGGGAAGTGTCAATCAAGAACGATTGAAGAATTCACGATGACAAGTTATGGGAATGCAAACTATCCAACAACGCTACCAATTCTGAAAGTTGACAACTATGAGAATTGGTGCAAACAAATGAAAGTCTTATTAAGGTGTCAAGGTCTTTGGGACCTTGTAAAAGATGGAGTCGAAGCGCTTGACGAAAACGCTTCAGAAGAAGAAAAGAAGAAATACACAGAATCTGAGAAGCTGAGTTATAAAGCATTATTTATAATTCATCAATGTGTCAGCTCAGACAATTTCGAAAAGATTAGTGATTCAGAATCTGCAAAAGAAGCTTGGGAGATCCTTGAGAAGTCTCTTGGAGGCACTGAGAAGGTGAAAGAAGTGAGGTTACAAACTCACAAAAGGACCTATGAACTGCTTCAGATGGAAGACAGTGAAAACATATCTGATTTTTTCACTAGAATTACAAAACTAGTAAATCAAATCAAGATATGTGGAGAAGCGTTAACAACAAGAGTTGTTGTGTCGAAGATCTTGAGATCTTTAGCTCCTAAGTTCGACCACATAGTGGTGGCGATAGAAGAGGGGAAAGACTTGTCGAAATTAACAAAGGAAGAGCTTCAAGGGACGCTTGAATCTCATGAACAAAGAATGAACGAAAGAGCTGCAGGAAAATCGAAGAGTGATGTGGCCTTGCAGGCACATTCAGCAAAAGAGACCAAAGGCAAAGGAAAGTGTTTCGACAGAGGTAGAGGTGGCTACAACAAATCAAATGGTAGAAGAAACCAAATCGAAGGAGACATGTCGAATCAAAGAAGACCATACCAAGGAAACCAAAGAGGTGGTGTTGCAAATAGAGGAAGAGGTGGTGGTCGAAAACCTGATAAGAGTCACATTCAATGTTACAATTGTCATAAATATGGACACTATTCGAGTGATTATCCAGAAAAACGAAAGAATCAAGAAAGTGATGCAAAACTTGCAAAACATGAAGAAGAAGAGATGATGATGATGGTCACAACAAGAGATGAAGATAGATTCAAGGACCAATGGTACTTGGATTCAGGATGTTCATCACATATGTCTGGAAGGAAAGACTGGTTTGTCAATATAAAGCCCTCAAAGAAAAATATGGTAAAATTTGCAAATGACAATATCCTGGCAGCTGAAGGTATTGGTGATGTTATGATTATGAGGAAAGATGGCAAAAGGTCAGTAATCTCCAATGTGTTGTACATACCAGGCATGAAGAGCAATTTGCTCAGTATAGGGCAGTTGGTCGAAAAGAATTATAAAGTGTCAATCGAAGATAAGTTGATGAGAGTTGTTGATGCAAATGGGAGATTAATCTTGAAGGCTCCTATGTCTCAGAATCGAACCTTCAAGATTGAACTAAATGTGATGGAGCACAAGTGCCTTTCGACTGCAGCTAACAGAGATGAATGGATATGGCATTATAGACTAGGTCATCTCAACTTCATAGACATCAGAGATTTGAAGAGAAGAAATATGGTTTCAGGATTTCCAGAAATTGACATTCCAAACGAGGTATGTGAGGAATGTGTGCAGGCGAAGCAACACAAGAATAGCTTCAGCAAGAATGCAGGAAGCAGATCGAAGGCTAGTCTTGAAGTCATATACTATGATGTATGTGGACCAATTCAGGTGGATTCGATGGGAGGTAACAAATACTTTGTTACATTCATAGATAATTTCAGTCGAAAGCTATGGACTTACCTGATCAAGCAGAAAAGTGAAGTGATCGAAGTATTTACCAAGTTCAAGTCAATGGTCGAAAGACAAAGTGGTCGAAAGCTCAAAGTTTTGAGAACTGATGGTGGAGGAGAATATGTGTCGAAAGACTTCGACAAATTATGTGAAAAAGAAGGGATTGTGCATGAGGTGGTGCTACCCTATACTCCACAGCAAAATGGAATTGCAGAAAGGAAAAATCGAACCATCATGAACATGGTGAGAAGTATGTTAAAAGGCAAGAATTTACCCAAAGAGTTCTGGGGTGAAGCTGTTTCGACTGCAACATACATTTTGAACAGAAGTCCTACAAAGAAGCTAGAAGGAATTACTCCAGAAGAATGTTGGTCTGGCATGAAGCCTAGCTTAAGTCATCTGAAAGTATTTGGATCTATTGCACATAGACATGTGCCAGATCAGTTGAGAAAGAAACTTGATGACAAGTCAAGTCAAATGATCCTAGTTGGATATCATTCGACAGGAGGCTACAAGTTGTTCGATCCAGAGAACAAGAAGATTGTGATCAACAGGGACGTGATCATAGATGAGTTCAAAGAATGGGATTGGACTGCAAATGTCAAGAAAGATTCAGTGGGAATCTTACTCGAAGATCCAGAAACTCAAGTCGAAAGAGAAGTTCGACAAGAGGAGCCAACAAATATACCTAGTACAAGCAGATCTCAAAGAACAAGACGCATGCCTGCAAGATTGCAAGATTGTGTAATTACATCAGATAATGTAATAGATAATGAAGGTGAGCTGGTACATTATGCTTTCTATGCAGATGTTGAACTTGTTAATGCAGCTGAAGCATTAAAAGATTCGAAGTGGGTGAAAGCAATGAACGAAGAAGTAAAGTCTATCGAAGACAACAACACTTGGTCACTTGTCGAATTACCTCAAGGCAAGAAGGAAATTGATGTCAAGTGGGTATACAAAGTGAAAACGAATTCGAAAGGAGAAGTAACTCGACACAAAGCAAGACTTGTGGCGAAAGGATTTCTATAGAAAGAAGGAATAGACTTCGACGAAGTTTTTGCACCTGTTGCTAGGATCGAAACAATCAGGCTGGTTGTTGGTCTAGCAGAAATCAACAGTTGGCACATATGTCAGATGGACGTGAAGTGTGCATTCCTAAATGGACCCTTAGATGAAGAAGTCTATGTTAAACAACCAGCCAGTTGGGTTTGTGAAACATGACGAGAAAGAAAGGTGTACAGGCTACATAAAGCCCTGTATGGTTTGAAACAAGCTCCAAGGGCTTGGAATAAGAAAATTGATAGTTTTCTAAGGGAGAAGGAATTTGTGAAGTGCATAACTGAACATGGAGTATATTTAAGAAGAAGCAAGAGTAAATTGCTTATACTATGTCTCTATGTAGATGATTTGTTGATAACAGGTAGCTGCAAGAGTGAGATCGAAGACTTCAAAGTTGACCTTAGCAAGAAATTCGAAATGTCTGATTTGGGTGAGATTTCATATTTCCTTGGTATCGAATTCTACAAGAGCAGTAGAGGTTTGATGATGCATCAAAGAATATATGCAGGAGAAATTCTCAAAATGTTTAAGATGGAAGAATGCAACGCAACTTCGACACCTGTAGAACCAAGACTGCAACTGTCGAAAGATGCTGATGAAGATGATGTTGATCCAACCCAATACAGAAGACTTATTGGATCATTGAGATACCTTTGTCATACAAGGCCTGACTTAGCATACAACGTAGGTATGGTAAGTAGATTCATGCAGAAGCCAAAGGTATCACATCTAGCAGCTGTGAAGAGGATACTAAGGTATCTTAAAGGAACTTTCGATTATGGCATTCTGTTTCCTGCAGTTGATAAAGGAAAAGAATGCAAGTTAGTGGGATACACTGATTCGAGTTGGTGTAGTGATGTTGAAGATCGAAAGTCAACAGCAGGATATGT